CTCTCTCTCTCTCTCTCTCTCTATATATATATATATATATATATATATATATATATATATATATGTACTGTGTGTGTGTGTGTGTGTGTGTGTGTGTGTTTGTGTGTATAGATAGATGCGTTTTCTCATGTATATCCACGTTAGTCAAGGCTGATTGAGTTGGTGGTCATTCTGTTCATGTATCTACCTATTTGTCTGTCTCATATATATATATATATATATATATATATATGTGTGTGTGTGTGTGTGTGTAATTTAATCAACTTTACAAAAACATAACCAACCACTTGCATATGTTTCTGTTCTCCTCCCCACCGACATTTACACATGTTTACGCATAAGCACACACACACACACACACACACACACACACACACACACACACACACACACACACACAACAGACACGCACACACATTAATTCTTATTCGCGATTACAAGTAGGAATCTGCCATAAATAACAGACTTATTAATATTTTCTCACTGTTCAGCATCCATATAAACGCATAGCTTTAAATGTATATTTGCACATATGCACCAAATATTTACACGTATAGACGCATTTTCGTTTCGACACTCTTTCTCAGCACATACAGATATATAAAATCCGCAATTTTAGTTAGCGGCATGGGAAATAAATCTGCAGTCCGGGTTCGAATCTCCACCGAAGCTTTAAATACATTCTTCAAAAGGCGGGTATCCATATCGGTAGAGGTCTTGATATAATATCTTGTCACTGGCATGTCATAATGAATGATAGTGATTGAGCAAATACTCTCTCATAACAACTTTTCTTCGCCAAGCGGTAATGATAATGCTAATCGTGTTCCCTCACAAGGAAACATTCGGTAATCAGTGACCGAATAGTCAGTATTACTTTTGGTTGGAAATTATAGTATCTTTCCCGTAAATTAATTTTTCAGAAAAAAAAAACAAAAAACTGATGTCTCCTGCCTAGTAACTGTTATATCTCTTTCTAGTATCGATAACAGTTTCCTTCTTTAGGTTTTCTTTGAAATAGTGTGGAAAGCCATCTTGATTAAGTTATTATTTTCTCATCCTAATACATGTGCTGTCCATTTCAGTTGTTGTTGTTGCTGTTATTTATCTGGGTTTTGTTATTTTTGTATATATAATTGTTTTTGGTATATTTTGCAATGTTTAATAATATAGAAACATTACATTCAAGATTATTGGGTGGATGCAGTAAAAAAAAGCCCATATAGAGATATACTGTTTAGATCCAAGTGACCTGATCGCGCAAGTGATATCCCTATTAAATCAAATAGAATATATAATGCCAATGGTGGAATTAACCGTTTCTTTTCAACTTTCACTGACTGATCAGCAAATTTTTACCGTCGTTTGAAATCTCTATCCATAAAAGGCAGGTTGTGTGTGTGTGTGTGTGTGTAACGAATGCACGGCCGCAATTTTCGACGGACTTGCACCAAAATTTACATGCACATGCTCCAAGTTAGTGAGGAGGCCAAGACCGACTTTGCATTTTCCAATTCCCATCGATAGTGGAATTAATCGATTTTTCATGCTTCTACTGCAGTTTTCATGTAGTTTGCGGCCATTGTGTACTGGCCAGACTGAGAGCCTATAACTGGCTGCCACGAATAGGCAGGAAGATTCTATTGGCCAGCGTGAGAGCCAACAGCTGACTGACACGAATGTTAACTAGCATGCGAGCATGCAAAAAAAATATCGATAGCTGCATTCGTCACAAGTGGGAAAAATTTAAATCTGCATGGCATTTTACTCCAATTGGATCATTCGCTTGCTAAAACTTAACGTTGATTCTGATTCCGCAGAACTGGGTTGGGTGGGAAAAAGTATTTGTTAATATTCTTTTTTCATTCGGTTTTTCCAGTTACGAGTCCTTTTTTAAAGCTAATCGTTTTGTGTTCATTTTGTTTAGTTCTTTTTTCGTAACAGATTTAATGTTTAGTATAGAGCTTAGAAAAAATTCGCAGTGTTAGATAGGCAAGAAGTAAGGCCTGTAGCAACATCAGCACGGCAAGGGGCACTCCTTTAAAGGCAAGGAAGGGCAAAAATATTTTAAGTCAAGTGATAGCGATTGCTGTATGAGTCGTACGATTTTTGAATCAAGCACGGGCAACGCCGGGCCATGCTGCTAGTTTATAATATATTTCTCTTCAAATATTTTTTTCAGGAAAATAAGTTTCTCAAGTTCACTAATTATTATGACTTATTTCATTATTTGTCGGGGTTTTCTTTCTACCATTTTGTTTGAAGTAGTGTGGAACGTTATTTTGAGATTTCCATTATTTTCTCTCGAATTTACACATACTATCCATTTTAGTCTTCTTTTGAAAGTCTTCAAATAATAGGGTTTTGTTATTTGGTAAATTCCTTGTGATTCTGTGTCACCAGTCTATAGGGTTGATGAAGGATATTCCTCACTAAAACCTACAGGTTTTATTCTCTTGTATTATTTTCAATCATTGATCTGAACATCCATATGTGTGTCTAGATCTGACGAGGCTATTTAAAAATATGACTAAATCCTCGGTTGATCTTTTTAAAATTTTTATGAAAGATTATATATATAGTGGTAAATGAAATTAGAATATACCACCATATATATATATATATATATATATATATATATGGTGGTATATTCTAATTTCATTTATTATATTGTAAATATGTCTTTTAGAAAGAAGCGAAAAGAACTATTCTAGTCTGTGTGTGCGTGTGTGTGTGTATATATATATATATATATATATATATATATATATATATATTTTTCCTGATATTATATGTTCAGTATTTGTACAAATTTAAATTTGGCCATTTTCGCTTGTTTTTAAATTTAGCAACAACGAAGAGAATCCTTGGAGGATGTCGTTCCTCAATGGAAAAATACTTTTTTTCTTCCCTGTAAAAGAAGTGTATTAAATCATTATATTTGCCTGCTACGTTAACTTCACATTGGCAATGCACGTCTTCCCATTCTCCGCCTCGCACACCCACACATCGCGACCGACTTTTTAAAATTTTTCTATTTATTTATTTTTTTCCCTTCTGCAAGGTTAGCCGGAAAAGGAATGTGTTTCCATTATGACTCTGTCTTCATTTTTTTTTTTTTTTATCTTTTTCTCTCTTCTTTTTTCTTTTTTGCTCTCTCTCTCTCTCTCTCTCTCTCTCTCTTTCTCTCCTTGTTCACACTATCTTTCTCCCGTTTCTTTTCCTTTTCCCACCCTTGCTTTCTAGAAGTTTTTTTTTTTTTTAAAGTATGCAATTGTAATTTTTTATTTTTCATTTTTTAAAATGCTCTCCTCAGCCTCAGACTCTGAAACTCTTTCTCCTTAGTCTCTCCTTGTTGTTAATGTACGCAACGACATACTACTTCAGAAGAAATCTTTTCATTTGAAATAATAATAATAATATTAATAAAAATTATAAAGAAATCTGTAAGAAATTGGTATGACCACCACCCAGGGCCAGTTACGGAGATAAGAACTGTAACAATTTTATGGGACTCTATTATACACACAGACAGAACAATCAAAGCTAATCGCCCTGATATCGTGATCAGAGACCCCAAAGACAAAATTTGCCTTCTTGTTGACATGGCAGTCCCTGTAGACTACAATGTATTTTTGAAGATCTTAAAAATCTATCAAAATACAAGGATCTTGAAATCGAATCAAAAATGTGGCACATGAGAACATCGACAATCCCTGTTGTAGTTGGAGCCCTCGGATTGATTGGAAATGATTTCAGTAGACTCATTGAAGGGATTCCTGGAAGCCCATACCTTAAAGAAGTACAAAAAATGTACTCACAAGTACAGCCCCACCTTACGAATTTTTTTTTTTTAAATAAGTAGGCGCATTTTGTCTTTGCAATCTTTAATAACAATGTCAGGGCGATTAGCTTTGATTGTTCTGTTTGTGTGTATTGTGTAGTCCCATAAAATTGTTACAGGTCCTATCTCCGTAACCGGTTCTGGGTGGTATTCATACTACTACTACTACTTATTATTATTTACTTTTGTCATATAGTATAAGTTTTTGAATACATCAGTTACATTATTTGTCAAGTCACAACAAAGAATTCACACAGACAACACTTTCCTCAAAATATGCGCAATGGTCAAAGGAGTCGATTTTTGGATGAGTTCAAAATCGTCATGGAAGTCACACGTTTTTAATGGAATTGATCCCAATACGCCAATCACTACTGGAATCACCTTGCCATTCCCCTCCTGCATTCCAAACAATCATTTGTGGTATTTATTATTATTATTGTTGTTGTTGTTTTATTTCCTTTAGTTTCTGGTGTCTACTCATTTCATTCTGGACCCCGACCAGAGATCTAAGGTCAGAAATGACATCATGACATTTTCACTGAGTATTTTTGTAAAAAAAAAAAAAATAAATAAAGAAATAAAACAACCAAAGAACACAAACATTTTACATAGATAAACCCCACTTCGTAAGGTGGGTGCTGTACTTGTGAATACAATTTTTTTTTTTTTTTAATTTTGTATTTCTTTAAGGCATGAGGTTACATGGGTCCGTTATTATTATTATTATTATTATTATTATTATTATTATTATTATTATTATTATTTACTTATTCTTTATTTATGATTCTCTCTACTACTTAGATATTTCGGCCAGGTAATCATGGTCATAACTCCTACCTTGAAACAATTCTTCTTCTTCTTCTTTCTTCTTCTTCTTCTTCTTCTTATTATTATTATTATTATTATTATTATTATTATTATTTAAAAATCTTTGAAAATACGATGGAAGAATTGCATATTCGGCGAAAAATCAAAACCAATCTGATGGCAGCATTGCTAAAGTCTGCTTGATTACTAATTATGCAAGATTATTGAGCAAACTTATTGCCACTTGGTAGCCACCAGAAACACATGATATCAGACTTTAATAAGTAGAAAATAACTGATGAGATTTCGAGTATATTGAGAAGTCTTGCTGCCATATAATTTCCAGTTAAAACTTGCACTTACCTGTTCTGCGATAACCCAATGAGTAAAAGGCAACAATAATAATAATGGTTAAGTTTGTGACGACGATGGCGCTGGTAGCGACGACAACACCAAGAGGGGGAGAGAGAGAGGGAGAGAGAGAAATAGACAGAGAGAAAGAGCGAAACAGAGAGAAGAAGAAACAGAGTAAGAGAGAGACAGCGAAAGACACAGAGAAACACAGAGGCAAATGTAGACAGAGACAAAAAGAGGCAGAGAGAGGGAGAGAAAGAGAGAAACCTGTACGTTTATTTAGATTTAGTTTAATGTCGGCAAATCTCAAATTGTCAAGCTGACATAACTGATATTTCCCTCTTCAAATTCAAAAAGAAATTGAACAAAATAAATAAGTAAAAAAATTAAATATTGCAATGATAATTAATGCACACTTAAAATTAATAATAACTAAGACTTATATGTTAATCATTTCTTCATCGTATACATTCAGTAAAATCTTTCTTGATAATAATGTTTTTATAACTTAATATTTAATACATTTTCAAACAATATATATATATATATATATATATATATATATATATATATATATATATATATATATATATATATATAGAGAGAGAGAGAGAGAGAGAGATAGATAGATAGATAGATAGATAGGATAGTGGCTCGGATTGAGGAATCGGAGAGCCGAGTTCGAATCCGTTACATTCACATATGTGCTAATACCCTTGGGAAAGATATTAATCCTATTCTTTTCCCTCCAGCTATGGGTAAATAGCAGGACAGACTGGGTTCTATATCCTTGTGTAGCAAATGGTCTAGGAGAAGGAAAACTCTGAATTCAAAACCTGCGGAGGGTCGTTTGGGGACCTTCTGGCACGTAGTGCACCAGGTCTCTGTATTCAGCACTTCAAAAAGTTGTGTTGATTCTGTACAGAGACTTCAGCACTAATCAAATCATATGTGCTAGTGTCTGGGCTGTCGGTTCCTAGGAACACAGCTTCTTGACCCTCATACGTCGAATACAACGAAAGAGTCCACCATATATATATTGTCTATTTATTTTAAGTAAGTTCCTTTCATATTGTCTGATTTTTAGGTATTTAAAACAATATGCCTGGCCGCATACACAATTCCGGAAAATCCTTGTTGAAAACACAACTATACTTAAACATGAAAACAATAAACAAAATCTAAAAAACTCTTGAAACTATATACATAAAACAGTTGAAACCTAACCTGAACAAAATAAACTACGAAATCTCCACAAACATTCTTAAATGCCAATAATTAATAACAGAATCCATTGGTTTATACCAACGGCTTCCCATAATTAATACTTCTCGTTTTCACTCTCGCGTGGTCCTGTGTGACGTCACGAGCTGCGACGCGATTTCCGCTTCCGCATCTCGTATACACGAGTTAGTCGTTGCTTTGAAATTTTTCATGCAACAGACTATCATTATTGTTCCGTGTATTGGTTGATATATTGAAAAGTAATTGTCATCTTTGATAATGTCTTATGTAAGCCGAAAGCTTAGATTCGATTTAAACACACACACACACACACACACACACACACACACACACACACACACACATACATATATATATATATATATATATATATATATATATATATATATACGTATGTGTGTGTGTGTATGTAATTATGAATTTTTGTATATTTGGGCAGCAACTCATTTCTACATATTTCATTAAATAAATGACGGATAAATATTAAGCCGTTTCAACAACCTATCCACCATTTTTAATACTACAACTAGGCTCCTTCAAAATGGCTAATAGATTAACCGAATGGGATCAAAACGAACAATCATTTGGAAAATGTCTGCCCATACTAACTCACAAGTTAAATTTCTCTTGTTTGCAAACAAGAAAATCGTATTGAATGCTAAATCCTTCACATGTAAACTTTTTGATTTCTTTATTGTAACTGTCCGTGATTTGTATCACTTAAAAAACAAAAATACATAAATGAAAACAAATGCCACTTCAAATGTTTGTATAAAAGCCAGTAAACGTTGCCTTGTAACACACAAAACATGTTACACAATATAAACAAGTTTCATCTTTCATATTTTCTATTCGTAATCCCCAAATATGTTTAAATAGAATTATAAAGTGTTATATGTTTGCTCAAATCAACTCTTTTGTGTAGGAAAGACATTAAATGAGTAAGTACTTGGTTATGTTTAATGATAAAAAAAAGGAATGTATAAAGTTACTAGTAAAAATACTTTCATTAATTCAAACTGATTAATACCGTTTCAATATCGATGTTATCTTTTAAAAATTAGCTTGACTTATACCATATCTGGTGACTGTCGAGATAATGAGAAAAGTTGTTCCATATAAAATAATATGTTGCGGGGGACAGGTTTCGATGAAAATTAAGTTAATGATTACTTAACTGGATTTTGAAATCATTGCTTAAACTTTATTCAAAATATAATCAAAAAATACGTTTGTATATGGTCGATATAAGTTCTTGGTCAAAAGGGCATTGGGTAAAATCTACTTCCCCTACCAAATGAAACAACACCTAAAAATCCACCAGCTAAAATATGATAAAACAAATGATAAAACCTGATATGATTCACTATGGCTGAAGTATATACCCAAAATTAAAACCCTGGCATGTTTGTCTCTCATTACTTCTGTCTGTCTCTCACCATCTCTCTCTCTCTCTCTCTCTCTCTATATATATATATATATATATATATATATAAAGAGAGAAAGAGAGATAGAGAGAAAGAGAAATAGATAGATTAACAAATTAGATGGATAGATAGAAAGAAAGAGAATGAGATAGATAGATAGATAGATAGATAGATAGATAGATAGATAATGGCCGTCTACTTTGGTTTTACGAGTACACCGGTTTGCTAGAACAGCTAACAAATTTGTTGTAGACATCGGCCCTGGCAATTTTGTGTTTTCTCAACTCCCACAGACACTAATTACAACTATGCTGAGAAGATCTTAGTTAAAGATTCTGTGAGAAAGCGCATAATCTAGAGTGATCAGCGTTTTAAACAAGGTCGGTACGCTCAAAGCCTCGGTCACAATGACTTGTGCTTTCGTGCTAGTACAACTATTGACGGTTAATATTTTTATCTACCCAGTTTCACCCACAAGTCTTGGAGCAATCCGTGGTGTGGCTTTTCATGCACATTCCAACGCTGTCCAACGCCAGGATTGACACCCCAGGCGAATGGCATTTAGAATGCATGCTCATATACGATTTCGATACAAAATTTTCCTATTTCACGTTTGCCTCTATGCTGTGCAAATTTGAGTTTAGTAAGCTAAATGTGTTAGTCAAGTTACTAGTATAGCCAAGTTTTGAGCCCGGATAAAAGCCAGAATTTTCTAATTGAAACACATTTTCATACCAGAATTTCGTGCTGTGTTTAGTAAAAAAGCTTAACACATGGTAGTTTATACAATATGTTTGACTTACAAACATATATGTAAATACGAGCGGTGCTGAAAAACAGGTCTAATAACAATAATTTTATGAAAGGTTGGGTCAGCACCACTATATATATATATATATATATATATATATATATATATATATATATATATATATGTTAGATCAACTCGCCTAATACCACAAGTATATATCTATATAAAGTCTAAATTTAAATGATTAAGAAACTATTTATCACTCTTCATATCTTTCTTACCAAACAAAATTTTTTATTCCACATCACACACACACACACACACACACACACACACACACACACACACACACACACACACACACACATATATATATATATATATATATATATATATTACAGAGCCAGAACTTATCTACGTAGGTTTAACCTACCGGATCATCAAGATAATTCTTACTAAAGAGGGTTGGCCCAAACGACATGTATATATATATATGTATATATATATATATATATATATATATGTGTGTGTGTGTGTGTGTGTGTGTGTGTGTGTATGTGTGTGTGTTTAGATATACAGACATATATATATATATATATATATATATGTATAAATTTAATATTGTCTTCAGCAGTGTTGAATCTCAGTGACTGACACACGCTCTATCCTTGATATTGAACCCTTTCATCCATAAATATAGCATACGAAAAATATATATTTTCATCATATTCATATTAATCAGTTAACCCAAACAGGGCAATAATGTCACTATGACGCTAGATGCTATTAACAGTAGATATAATTGTGTGCGTGTTTTGGTCTGGTGGCGGTTGGTCTAATAATATTATATTTAAGTATTAAATCGCTCATCTCTGCAATTAGATAATTATATAATTACATAAATACTATGCTTTCCTACATAAGTAATCACAAATGATATACATATATATACCTATGTATGTGCGAACATGTTTGCGCGCGTTCGTGTCTGTATTTAAATCACTGAATATGCATACATATTTTCAAGTAATAAATAATTTTCCTGTTAATTTCACCATATAATCGAAATTGGACCTTTGCCCCTCATCTCAAAACTAAACCAAATTCCAGTTGCAAGTCTCCCCTCTTTCTCATTACCCCCGACCCCGCCGACTCAACCTTTCAGCCGGGCATCGACACGAAACCTCAGCTTCACATGCTTCTATGAAGATCATAAAGAAGCAGTCTCATTCATGGTGTCTTTCTCTGAGGAGCGTCAGACATCCATAGCAGAGGTTATCAAGTGCATTCGCGTAATGCATTGCCCATGTCAGCTGCGCTGGAGCGCGAGGTGATTGGCGGGGGGTGGTGGGAGTTGAAAGAGGAGGAAGATAGTTACAAGGGTGACCCAAATATTCAGAAAAGCAGCCAATATTTTCGTACTGACGCCATTTATGGTCTTTGGTTGTTGTTAACGCATGTGCGGGTGTAGAGGAGGAGGAGGAGCGAGATCATGTGCCTGGGTCAGGATGAATGAATTGTTTCAAAAAAACAAACAAACAAAAAAAGTTAAAAAGTGCGTAAATATTTAAATATGCAAAAATATGGGCGGCTGGAGGCCGCTTGCACTTGTAGTTATATCTTGTGAAGCGTAGAGAACATATTAGTATTCCTCATATATATATATATATATATATATATATATATATATATATATATATATATACACACACACACATATATATATATATATATATTTGTATATTATATATGTATATTGACCACTCATGTTATATATATATATGTGTGTGTGTGTTTGTTTGTGTGTGTATGTGTGTGTTCTCTCTCTCTCTATATATATATATATATATATAGATAATATTTTCTACACATATATAGAGAAATGTGTATATGTAACTAATTAATATGCGATATATTACATGCGGTGCTTCGATACCGACGGTGTAAAAGGCATTTTACAAATGAAGCTTTTATTTTAGTTTTAATTTCAAGTAAATAGATTAAATTTTATTTTTACAATAAGTAAAATACTTGTTATTCTTATTATGCGTAAAATTGACAAATGGTCAACATAATTTCTTTATAAAAAAAATCTTTGAAAAATAGAATATAATTTTCTGAAATGTTATTTAAGTAAGATTAGCTGATTTAATTAATCTGAACTGAAACAAATATTTCTTCCACTTTAAAATGCCGAAGAAAAAAACATTTTTCAAAACTAAATGGGTATTTTTATAAGATGTTAACACACTTATCGACAGCCTTGATGTTTGAGAAATTTATGTAAGGAGGAGATAAGAAAATTGCATCACGGGTACAGTGTAAATGCTTCTTTATTAAACTTTTGTTTAGGTACATATTAGTCTTGATAGCTTAAAATATTTTACACATTGTTATATTTTAGAGAATTTTATGTACTTTAAATTCTATCTTACTTACGAAAATGCTTCTTGAGGAAATTAGCAACAAACTGTAAATTTACTATAGTTACTGCATTTATTTTCTAATATTGTCGTTTATACACTCACACATACACACACACACACACATACACACACACATATATATTTACATACATATACATATATACACATACACATACATATATATATATATATACATGCATATATATACATACGTATATATACATATATACATACATACATATACATGTATACATACATATATATAAAACGCTAATGTTTTTTTTTGTTATGATTTGAACCCGACAAAACCGTTAGGTTTCGATCCCGGCTTGAAGCAGTCGAATGTCGATATGTATATATATATATATCGACTACATTTGCAAAATCATGAATTAAATGACTTTCTCTCAATATATATATATATATATATAATTATTATCAATATAAAATGTTAACTATAACGGGTACAATTGCTTGAGTAGAAGTCTATTTATTTGCCTGTTTTTTTATATATATATATATATATATATATATATATATATATATATAGTCAAATATGTTTTTTTTTTCATACGAAACTAGTAAGGAAAATAAAATCCATTAAATCTTTAGATTATTAAAAGAAAGTTGTTGCTTTCTCTACACACACACACATGCGCATGCGTGCGTGAAATGTTTAGGTGTCTGCGAGAACATTTTGGTTACTTTTTTCCCATGCCAATAGTCCTCTTCTAAAATCGCTGCAACCTCTCGACGCACGTAGAAAGCACAGAACCGTTTTGTAATTTCTATTTCTTGGAAAGAGAAAATGATCTAAATAATCAGAAGGGTTTAATGAATGTTTAAGTAAAGGTGGCACTTGATATAAGCTCTGTAATCAAAGAGAAGAAGACTTTAATAACAGGCCTCACAGTGGTAGGTCAGCTGTTGCTCGAATAAGGCCAAACAGCCTGATATAGCCTCGTTTTCATCTGATAGAATAATCAGTTTTTGCAAAACTTTATGAAAGAATCCTTTCCCGGTGAACTATGTTAGTATCTATAGTTTAGTGCAACTTCATGTCTACTCAAAATTACTGTGCAATCTAGCAATGCTGACAACGTCCATGAATGAGCTGAGGGTGTTTACTGCAAAACCCGGGTTGCATCTTTTCTCAAATGCACATGGCTAAATAAACAAAGAATTTATTCAACGCAAGTATATGATTTCTCATTCAAAGATAGAATTCTGCCATTGAAAACGAAGGAGACTATTGTAGATAGCCTTTGGAATTTTAGGACTTCATCGGACTAAAGCAATTTTTACGTAATTACATATGTGTAGGAAGAAGAGGGGGAATACACAAACGCAGAAATGCATGGACAGAAAAAAGAAACCCTGAAATTTTAAACTTTTATTATTCGAACTATTGTCCTCATCTTTGTCGCCATAATTATTATAAAGTTTCGGCCGTATACGCCATGTTTAATAGGTGCCAGTCATCAGTTATCACCTGTTAATTTCCCTCTCCAAGTTCTCTGCTTTAACCGGGTATTGAACTCACACTCTTTGGGCCCTGTCACTGGATCTAACTAACGCCTTTATCCACTGTGCCATGTGTCCTATGTTTGCTTGTTTTTCTTTTGTTTTGGGGGGTTTTTTTCTTCATATATAAGGGCATTAGGTCATTAGCACGAGTACATAACCAGATTCATTTAAAAAAAATAAAAATAAAATTCAAAAGTTATAAATTTCGATATTTCCAACATTTTCCGAGTTTACGAACTTTTCAGTCTTTTCTGTCTAATCCTGGTACAAAAACACCAGCTGTACCAGATAATGGCCCTTGGGTCAGGCAAGGTTTTCGTCGCTACGGTAAATATTGCCACTGATTCAGGGTACTACTACAATATCTTGCGATAACACCGTTCTCTGTCATCCATGATATTGCTGAACTAACCGTACATACAGCCTCGACTTCAATCTTGAAGTATATCTATTTGATATCAACCGGAGGGTCAATCTGATATATAAACAGC